CTATCGTGAATGTAAATGCACACTTTGTATAACAAATACAACGTGCAACTGTTCTATATAACGGTCATGCGCTATTAAAACCCGTTTTTGCGTCTCCCAGCTACGGAAATGGGACTCATTTCCTCTTTTATATTATTTGTTGGAACATTATTCGCATTAAAATATAACTTTTACGTTTATACCTGCTTATCTCTTGCTCGTAATACGTTAGCTTTTACTTTCATTTTAATAAGTAAATATTTAAAAAAGCTGTTTATATTTTTATTAAAAGTGTTTTATAAAATTGTAAAGTTGAGTTTCTTCACACATCGTATCTAAAAAACGAACGATAAGTCGACGAAGTAAATTTATTTATTTTCTACAAGCAATCTGCATTTAATAAATAATATTAATATACCGTTAAAATCTGAAATGAGATCTATTCTGTCCAGCATATAACAAGTTATTTAAAATTCGCAAAACGACAAAAATCAAGGTGCAATCATGCATTCGACTTTATAAATCAGAACCGAATAAAACGAGGCTAATAAAAGCCTGAAGCCGGGCGAAGCGACAATAGCGCAACTAGGCGAGCGCCAGCACATCCGGGAATGCGGCCGGGTCAAGGTCACGGCCCGTGGATCGATGCAGCTACGCCGGTGCTACGGCGGTGCTACGCCGCCCCGCCCGCACACTGCTACGCTACAGCTCAAACGTTACGCCCGATATATTTAGCTTCTCGTTATATTTCTTTTACGAAACTCGGAATAAATTGGTCTTTCTTCTTTTATATTGTTAATACGTTCTTTAGCACCGATTTCAAATGTTTGCGATTTATATTTTTAACTTTGGTACTTTGTCGTACTTTTGTTAATTTTAAAGTTTAAAATAAAAAATACGTTCATGCGACCATTATCTTTATTGGGTCGACAGTGTTGCTAACCATTTGAGCATTCATGTGGTTGACAATTTCTATTCAGTTATTGAAATGTTCTGCCAGTATGTTCTAACATCGATAAATAAAAAATACGTTAAAAGAGCTTTTTAATTCGTTATTTTAAGCTTTTATATTTTAGAAACAGTAGCTGAAGCCGTAACTTTCGTCGACATTGACATGACATTTTGATATGTAGTACAACAAAGATAAATTACCAAACAAAAACCAAAATCCTATTGCAAAAGCTGATTTTTATTCCCAGATTAAATCAGCTACTCCCAAAAGCCTCAAAACTTTCCCACTTCAGCTTTCGCTGGTTTTATTTTAATGTTAGGAATAAGTGAGATGAATCCGCTCAGAAATTCTTAAATGTGTCTTCGTCAGTCGAAATTGAAAGTTATGGAGCAGTTACACAGAATGTTTTATTTTAGAGCCAAGTCAAATAAAACTCGTAAATTCAACAGATTACTCGACGCTAAGTAAAGCTGAAGCGTTTTGTGAATCTTTTAAGTAAAATGTAAATTTGCGTGCGTTTTAACATTATAGATATAAAGTTAACAGCGTCTGTATGTGATGCTCAAGGCTGGGCTTTAAATTCATGTTTTGTTTTTAATTTATGGACTTTAATAAGTCACAATTGAAATGATAAAATGTGTTTAATACGTAGATTCCTATTTTCTCTGTCTTTGATAATATGCTTTAGGTGCAATTCATTTTTCTTGACAATTCCTGGTAAAAATGATAACAAGGTTTTTATTTTATAATGTTATAAAGTAAGCCGCTTAATAAAATTTATTTCGGTGAAAAAGCTACGCATGTCTAGCCCTTATTTTGATAACAAAACCTGTAATAAACATGTATCGCATGTCTGAAGTAACGTCGTAACCTTGAAAGTCTTTATTGCCGCCGCGAACGTCCACCCCTGAGCTTGGTACGGTCATGGTCGCCGTACGACCTCGCAGCGCATCAAACGGTAACAACGTCTACCCACCTTCGCGGCCTGTGCCGGAATGGCCTTCTGTCGCTCGAGGCAGTAGCGGTAAGAAGTGGGGAGGGAGATGTGTTTACCCACCAATCCCCCTCCCTACTGTGCCAGCTGAGCGGAGGAACGCTATATTTAGGTTGCGCTGTAAATACTCGCTCCAAGTACGGAACACGACTGCCTCCCCTGCTTAGGGAGGGGGCTGGGGGAAGGTAGCTACAGAAGCGGAGAAAAGTTGAAAGTTCACCAACGCCCCGCACACGAGTTCGCGCTGTTAGGAAACGCTTTCTTTATTTAAATTCTATTGCAACTTGTTCGCCATTGTAGTCGCTGTTGAATACGTAATGCAGAGTCCAATTTTTCAATGTAACAAGCAAGATAGTGTCTGCGCTTCTTCGTATTTGCAAATACTGTGGACTGTTACTCGATTTTAATTCAACGGTGGATTATTTATTAAACTCTCGCGTTTTATATGCGCATTTGAAAATGTCTTTTCATTATCTATAGGTTTCTGTTTTATTTTTTCCGTTGACTCAAAGACCACCTAAATTTTAGAGATCCATAAGATTATAGCGATAAGAACATAATTAATGTGCGTAAAAACAAAGTTATAAATGCTCATTATGTTCGTAAGTCAAAGTTTCATACAATTAAATGAATTGCAGTCTTTGATAGTTTGTTTGCGTGTCGACATATATTTTCATACCTTATGTTAAACGTTCACGAACTTTTTATGCGATAAACTTTGATTGGCTTAGTACGATTCCGACTGTCAATTCCTATTTCTTTCTCGGTTCAACTAAACGATTGTGTTATGTGAATGTCCTGATCATAAAACAAAATATAATAATATGGCTATTGTTTAATTACATTATGTTACAAAATCATCACCTTTAATTAGATTAGTAAAAAAGAGCTTTATCTCAACTAGAGCTTTATTCTTCAGAATATAAAACTAGAATTCAAGAGTCGTGTACAGCCTGAGCTTTGGAAATTTCCTTTTCTCTTGTTTTAGAAAAGCTTAGCGGTTACGTTTGCTAAGTAAACCACAAAACGAACCTATTCACTTAACAGAGTAGTTGAAATTAAACAAAAACAACTTTGAAAGCTTAGAAGGTAGTTCAGAACAACTGAGCGGTAGGAACTCTCGAATAACATTACAGTTTATTTTGTGTAATTGTATTTTCAAAGCAAACATAAAACGTAACAATACAGAAATATTATTTTAGGTTTTACAATACCACCATATACTTAAAAAAACAAAAAAGCCTCAGGTCTTATCTATGTTTTACAAAAATAGCAGTAATTTCTTCGATTGGAATTAATTATTTCATTTTGTATTAAAAACATTGAAAAAAAGATTACCAAGTTATTTAAAATAATCACGTAAATATAACAAAAAAAACAATGAATTAAAGCCGGTGTCACTTAATGGAAGAAAATTATTTTAGAATTTGCAATTATATAAATGTGGTGAATATAATAGTTACAAAAGGTATTCCATAAAATTCCGAGCACAAAGAATGGGTACTTCCACTTCATAACAATGCTCAAAAGGAACGCTTAATAAATTATTTGAGCATTTAACCGTCAAGTGAAATATTTTAATCTCGACAATCTCTTTGAGTTGCCGTTTTGTTCTCTTACATATTTTATTCAGTTTGTTTTATAAATTTTTGGGTAACATTTTTGACTTGTACAACATGACAACGAAAATGTCGGATGCTGAAGTATTTACGTTTATTTAATTTTTTCGTGAAACTCCTTTTTTACTGTTATTATCTTAATACGATCCGATAACTTAGCAAACTGATGCAAAATAGACACATTGACAAAATAGGGTTCTAATATAACGAATCTAAACAATCAAAAATAATTACAAGTCACAACGAAAGTATACCTTCAGTTCTTTTATTCAGGAGATTAATTAATTAAAAGCTCATTTTCATTACAGCGTTAAGCCGTGTTCCATTAGGCATGGCCGCTATTAATAATAATAGAATAAGACCCCGGGACGAGCCGCGAGACCCGACCGCAGACATGGAATTAACATCAAAGCCGAATACAAAAAGATGTGTCAAAAAAGATAACGTAGCATATAACATAAAGACAAATTCGGCATAAACCAACATACAATATTTTTATGTGTACTTCGCTCCTGGTAGACCTATCTCGGCGATTTTTTTTATCGAAATTTATTTTGATAAAAACATAATCGAAACACATTTACAATTGACAAGTCGCAATACACCAAGCACTTTTGAATAACACTACTGCCATTAGTATCAATGAAGCCAACATTGATGAGAAAATAATTCTAAGTAACAATACTTTCAAAACTTGATCCATTCTTACATCTTTCTCCCGAAGTGTTTGTGACGTCAGTGAGCGTTTTAGCAAAACTTAATAACTAAATTAACTAGAAAATTGAAGCGGCAAGCAAAATGTAATAATAAATTTATAGAGTCGCATATCGTTTGTCGTCTGTTTAATAAAATGTTTTATTCAGAGCGATTTTGTTACAATAAAAACTTTATCATATTTTACGAAACAGAAGCTAACAAAAAAATACAATCATTCCTTTTATAAAAGTGTGAACACGAACTACAGAAAACGAGAGTACAAAAATAACTCAGTATAAGAAAGCAGTAAAGTTTCGTCGGCGGATAGCGTACGCGATACTGCAGATGAAGACTAGATAAAGTTCAGATATATCTCAACTTTTTTAATTAAGAACATCTATAGTAGTTGTTGACTGAATTAAACGTACTGCAAATTTAATTAAGAACTTTATAAACATAAAGTAACAAATAAAATACGATGACATCATCAGAACTTTACACATTTTATTATTATAACAAAATAAAACTCCCTATTGGACAAGGCTTGATTTTTACAATTGAAAGAATTCATTGGGACTCTGTCTCCTGAACTAATTATAACAACTTTGTTTTAGAAGGCAGGACCTTTTATCTATTATATGTAATTAAGATTAAATTATAATGAAATATTAAATTGTACTAAGTGTGCTTTTGCGTATTGTTATGAATTTGTTTGTGATTACTACATTTACTGGAGTGCGAGAATATTATCAAGTCTCACCCTGCTGTTCTACCGTCGACGAGTAATCCAGTGCGCTCTTCCGCGGTGTCCAGGTGGAGGAGTCAACTTCGGTGTTATCTTTGTACTTCTCGTGCTTGGGGTCGTGGAAGCTGACGATGTAGAGCACGGGCGCGGTGCCGGCGAAGGCGATGCGCTGCTGGTGGCTGGCGGCGGCCAGCACGCTGCCCGCGGCGGGGTACGAGCAGCTGATGTACCGGTTGTGCAAATTGATCACTTCCAAACAGCTCGTCCCACTACCGCCTATTAGAGCGTATTTGCCTTTGCGGTTATACTAAAAAAAAGAAAAAAGTTTTAGATGTACTAATGTACTTCTTGAGAGTGGGCGCACACCTTTGATTAAACTCTTGCACAAAAATGTGTACGGCGAGCGCACGGCATCATACATTGTACCTAGATTAGTTAATGAACTACCCTCAGGTTTAATAAAATGTATAACACAAAAAAACGTTATGCATAAACTGAAACAATATTTATGTACGCAAGCCACTGAAACGCTAGTGAAAAACTATTGAGGTTTGTTTAGCGTTTTTTTACATTAAGCTAGATTTAATTGTTTTTGTATTGTTAAAAGAAAAAAAACTGTTGTGCGATTGTTAATTGTTTCGCAACAAAATCAACTGTTTAATTGCACAAGTAAAATCGAGCAGTGTGTGCACCTCCATCTAAGCATCAAAGCGAGACTAAATAGTTATTCGATAGTAAAGTCAAAGGTGAGCGCGCGCTTTATCTTACTAATATTATTCATGCGAAAGTTTAGACGGATGTATGTTTGTTAGAGTTTGTAGCAAAGAATTTTGGCATAAACATAAATGAGTATAATCTGGAACAACACATAGTTTACCCACTATTTTATATAATGGGGACGGAATAGCGGGCGAAAGCTAATATTCATTACATGTATTTTAAAAGAAATGTCGAAGGGATACTTTATGATAATTATCCGACATCATTGGTTTGGTAAAAGGTAGTACGGGATACACACTTAACTTTTACTTAACACTTTTAAAAACTAGTTGTGAATTATATCTGATCGATTTTACGTCTGTAGATTTCCAGTATCGGCAAGTATAGATATACTCTCCGTCGACATCTGGTCTTCGATTCTGCACACGTATAACGTTAATTTTTTTCTTAGCGGTTATATCCCACACTGTCAAGGCTTCAGTCGGCTGCCAGCTGCCGACTATGCATTGGTTTTTCTAAAAAAGATACAAGTTCCAAAATAAAATAGCAAAAGAATATTGTTATATGCTTCTGAATAAACTTACATTTAAGTCAATACTATCTCCACATATATTAACACCTTCAAATGTAGTTACGCAACCTGTTTGACATCTAACGTCCCAAATCTGTAACAAAATTACTTAATTTTTGTTTGAATTTCCATATTACGTGGTATCTTCACATTGTATTTTACCCGTAAAGTCCTGTCCCAAGCGCCGCTGGCGAACATATTGACGTATTGGTCGTGACAACGCACCGCGCACACTTGATCAGTGTGCATACGCTGCAGTTTCTTTGGTATGAACTGCAAGCGTAACTTTTGCACTTTGTATGTCATGTCCAACTGTAACGAGAGTAATTGCGTTACACAAACACACAAGAACTCATAGGCATCGTTAGAAGATAGGCTAAGTCTAGCGGCACAGTACAATGGTCTCATTCGAAGTATTTTTCGTATTTATTATACATTTATCGATTGCCTGTGAAGAAGCAAGAACCGATTGAAAAAATAGCTTTTTTCTTACATTATTGGTTGCAAAATAAGAATAAAAGGTTTCTTTGTCTTTGACCTTAAAGTAATGGATAATTTCTATAAAGCTAGTTACTAGCTTAAGTTATAAACTACTCACATAACCTTTTACTTATATTGAAACTGTCAATTAGATAAAGACGTGTAATATCTTCTCATCTGATATCATAATCCTTGACCAGCGACCTACTTAATGGAGGTTAAAGGATCTTCAAAGATCTATAAAGCCGATATTATACGGGCTATAAAGTAAGATTAAATCTGTCCTAAGGTATTAAGGTCTTCAATATTTATACCGCCGTTCGTGAGACTGTGTAATAGAAAAAGTATATAATTGACTATCAAAGGCGGATCCAGCTTTGGCGTCACGAAGGGGTCAGATAGTCGTGGTCAAGTCGAGAGCTGGACAAAATATGTAAATATATTTTGTCAAGCTCTTGACCAACCAGCTCAGGAGGAAGGGTCATGACCCCCATGACCTCCCCCTGGTTCCGCCGTTGTTGACTATCTAGATGTTACATAAACTATGATTATAAATTTATTTATTACGTCATCTCATGTGTCAAGCAATATAGCCACCTTTTTTATTGGTCCAGCACAGCCTTATTATGGTATTTCTGTAATCCAAATAAGATAAAAGTAGCAATTGTTAATAACCTCTTGTGTCTCCATGTCGTATACTTTTATGCTGGCGTCCGCGTAACCAACGACCAATTTGGTCTGGTCAGCTGTAATGCCCAGCGAGAGAGCCGGCGTCCTCTCTGTCAAATGATTTATCTCGTTACGAACTGATCATAAAATGAAAGAAAGATATGGACGTTACGTTATAAGTTACATCAGTAACTCGAAGACGAACAGGATCCATGGATAGATAGCATTGATATGAGGTATATCTAAGAACAATTAAAAAAGGTAGACTACAAACCGTATACTTTCCATCCCATACTTTATAAAAACTTTATGCATAACTAGCTTTCGCCCGCGACTACGTCCGCATGGAATTGAAAAAAAAAACAAAAGGTGCATTGTTCTTCTAGACTATCCTCTACATATATACCAAATTTCATCGAAATCCGTTCAGCTGTTTAAGCTAAAAACTAACAAACATACATCCATTTAAACTTTCGCATTTATAATATAAAAAATCACTATGAAGTATGATATTTATATGAGGAAATTATTAAGATAAACAGACGCGAAATTCTTCTGATGACAGCTTTTCTATACAACAAAACATTAGGTAAAAATGTTTATTGGTCCTTTCTTTAAATTAGTAGTAGAATTATAACATACGTGTTACAAACGGAGTGGCGGAGGATGAAATGCCCGGGGCTCCGTAGAACTGTGTGTTCAAACATTCAAGCGCGGGGTCCGCTCTAATGCAGTAATCCGGTGGGTTGTGAGTTGATACTGCAATCTGTGAAAATAACGAGCATTATTTTGGTCCATCTCTTTCATATTTCATAGATTAAATGTCAAATGTCGCATTTACAGTCATTATTATCGACAGAATTGCGGTTGACTAAGTTTTAGCTATAAAATTATATTAAAGCTAGCTACATTGAATTTGATCATGTAATTTGGGTTCCAGGTCAACGTGTAAGCAGTAATTAGAAGGCGCCATTAGAACCGTAAAGTAATATCTTGCGAGCGGCCTTAATTGTGCACAAATTTAATTCGGAGCACAGCACGCATACGGACATCGGGGACATACGTTATTTTAGAAACCACAGGGTTAGTAAATGTTTAAAACATGGCTAGTAATTAATGCTATTTTGTAACTTACATATCTATACAAATATTATAAAGAGAAAAGATTTGTATTTTTGGAATTTTCTATGAATTTAAATAACTCAAAAACTACTGTACCGATTTCAAATCCTTTCACTATTAGAAAGCTACGTTATCGCTGAGCAACATAGGCTATATTTCACGTGGACGAAGTCGCGAGCAACAGCTAGCACTTCATTTTGAGATTTCATTACACATAAAAAATTATATAGCTACCATGACGTGCTAAACTATGTTAATTGCGTAATGGGTAAAAAACTAAAACACGTCGATTTGGAAGACCAAGACCGATTATGCCAATAACAAAAAGGTATAAGGACAAGGAAATGAAAAAAGAATTACTTACATTAGGTATTTCAATACGGTATACCGCACCGTCCATACATGCTGCATAACAAACTCTCTCTTCGTGCAAACTGTACACGAGAGCGTACACCGGCTTCGGCGGATACTGGATGTTTCTTAAAGTACAGAGCACTGTTCCCGTACTGCCGTGACGCATCTAATAAAAGATTACAAAATATTAGCATTAAAACTTTTCATAAGCCTATCCCTTCCTAATTAACTGTAGGTTTACTTAACTACTGTAAAATATATTAAAAAATAAACTAGCCAAAATGTTGTTTGACATGTTTGAAAGATTAAATTACTAGTTAAATATGACTGAAAAAATTAACCTGTATCAAGCCAGAGGAATGTCCAACGATAATGTGACAACCGTTTGGAGAATACACCAATGCTGTTATAGCGCCGTATTCAGAGAGAAACCATCGATTGTATAAAATTTTGTTAGGGGTGCCTTTTAAAAACTTTACATTATTTTGCTTAACCCAACCATGAGGATCTTTATCTTTGGAAACTCCGTGATAGAACATCGGATACCAATTTTGTGGACTTCGTTCATTTTTATAATAAGCCAGAATATTATCGACATATTTTGCAACAATCTCTTGATGGCTAGTCATGATTAAATCGGCCTACTAGATTTTTAGTCATTTATACGAAAAATAAAAGGTAAAATTGATAGTATGATATTTATGTTAATTTTATAAAGATTGAACATATTTTTTTTAAATGCGAAATTTGTATTTGTGAAATTTAAAACAATGCCATCTAGTGGCAAACTTTGGTACTTCTACAACGCAATTGAACGTTAAGTTTTACGAAATAATCTAGTGAAACAGATCTAACTTTTTGTTATTTAGTAATAAATTATTTATTGGCGTATTATATATAACATTAGTTATTTTTGGCTCATATTCTATATAAAAAATACCATAGTTTCGACACCGAATTTGTTATTGTATTATTATGGTAAATTAATAGGTTTTAAAAATACATATCACCTGGATTAATCCACTTGAGTGCCCCACAATGATATTTTCACCATCAGGGGTGTAAATCAAAGAGCAAACAAAACCAATTTGGGTCAAAAAGCTTTGTTCCACTAAATATTCATTTGGTGTATCAGCAATGAACCGGTCGTAGTTTTCTTGAATCCAAAGTTTCTTCGGCGCTGGTGGTCTCTTCATGCCATAAGAAACAGACAGGGTCCTTTTACTTTCCTTCTCTTCGATAACAAATTCTCTCAATACACGATTCCTGTAATTTCCAATAAGTTTACGCATTGTATCTAATTCGCTCAATATTGGCATAGGTATATTAAATTGAGCGGAAACATTGCGCTTATTTTCCATCATTTTAATAACAAAATCCTCGATCTTCGATTAGAAATAAAATATTCTTCCCGAGTATTTGTCATGAATTTTGACAATTTTAATTCGTAAAGTCATGGAAATTCTAAAAAAAGGTAAAAGTATTAATGTCGTTCTTTGCAACACAGAATACTGATCAACTTAAAATATCAGTGCTTCAAGTACATACGTATAACGGAACACAACAATTATTTTTTTAACAATATCATCAAATTCAATCAATAAAACTTAGCACCAAATCATTTTTTTATCATATACTTTTTATTACTATATTTCTATAACTGCTGCGGGCTTATGAGTAGACCCACTACTGTTAAGATCGACATTAAATTTATGCTGTTTATTTCAAACAGGCTGAGAGAAGCTTTAGGGATGTTTTGCCAGTTGATGGTAGCAAAAGTCAAAAGAAACAATTATGCGCACTATGTATCTAATTCTAAAAATGTAAATGTACACTTTTATATTAGTTAAATGTTTAATAGAGCAAAATATACAAATAATAACAATATAATAGCAAAACGCTATGCAATCTCCGACACCAAGAAAGGGACAGCTATATATTTCGGTTTGCTTTCTCCGATATATCCGAATATATCCGATTTTGTCCGAACAAGTGCACGGAACGTCCGAACTGGACGCCATATTGTCATGTCAGGATAGACGAAAGTGGTAAACGCAGATCGCGTTTTGTTTCATTAAATTTCTTAAAGTAAGTGTTTTATCAATTAATCGCGGTTTTAACGACGGCAGGTATTTTTAGTTCACGATTTGCAATTGTTATTTGTAGTATTTAACATAATCGATTGATCAAATCTAGTTAATTATGTCGGGGTGTGGTATTTAGATCACCACGAAGCTTAGGATACTTTGTTTGTTTTGTTATAACTTTCCCATATCTTAGTTCGTTGCATATATTTACGGCGAGGTTGAAAGTGTTTATGTGAATAACACGATACTTTTCGACTCATGTTTGTTCAGTTGTTTATAAATCGATAGCCACGGCTGCGTGTTGAACGGCGCTTCATAGTTTTATTTCGTTCACAGGCGCAGGGTGCATTGCTGCATCCAAAGAATCATGAGCTATCAGATACCATCATCGCAAAGTCGCACAAGTAAGTTTTATTAGTTTAAATTGATCTTGAAATTACATATTTATAGGAAACTAATACTTTTGCTATAAAACTCAAGGAATTAATATTTATGTACGTGCAACATTGTGTTTATTTTTACTAATCCAATGTATATCTATTAAAGGTTTACTATTCGTCTAACAAATCCACAACTACTATATTCTTAATTAACGTGCAATATACTAAATGCAAAATAACCTTTTATATATAATGGTATCTGGAAATATGACTCATTCATTTCTAAGTTGTACTATGATAGTTACTCAATATACTTGGCTTCAATGAAATTCTTGAATTACAACATGTGAATTACCTTTAGGATATGTTAGTATTTCTTTATGACCTGAAAACACCTAATCCATTTTCAAGTGAAAAGTTAAGTCATTTAACATTCAAAAATGTGTTTACCTTTCATATCGTTAACTTAATTTTTTTTCTTGTGTTAGTGTCGCACAGCAGCTATGGTGGGTCTGATGTGCCTATGGCACCAAGCAAAGAACAGCAGACTTTGATGTGGCAGCAGAACTCCTATCTGGTGGATTCTGGTATCAATTCCGGAGCAGCTACTCAGGTATGCATTGTACCATCTAAATAGAGGGATTATAAATATGTTGAAATCTCTATGTCTACTACATTGTTATATTCAAATCCTCGGTAAGTTCAATAACAGGCCGGTTCCTTTTTCTGTGCTCACAAATGCATATTTCAAATTATTTAGACTAATTCAAACTAATGTTAGTTTCCTGTAATAGGCATTTTAGTAACTTAATATTGATACAAGGTTAAGTGAAATTAAATAAATCAGAATCATTATATCAAAGTTAGTAAAATATAATGAGGTCTTGCTTGAATACCCTTCAAATTCACATCTTGAACTTTTTAAGTTGAAGACTCAATCAGTTGAAGTTTATTGCATTTCTATTGTCGTTACAGATATTAAGATTCTATTGTAAATGCTTTATTATGTATACAGTAGTATTGATAATATTGAAATTTTCAGGTGCCTTCACTTACTGGCAAGGAAGATGATGAGATGGAAGGAGACCAGCTCATGTTTGACCTGGATCAGGGCTTTGCTCAAGGTTTTACCCAGGAGCAAGTTGATGGTAAGAATTATTAATAATTTACAATTAAAACTTTATTTTTTAATTTGTTCTATAATCTTATTGCTAAAAACTTTATTATCCACAGATTTGAATAAATTATAGTAATGTAAATTTTATTTTCAGATATGAACCAGCAGCTATCACAGACTCGCTCCCAGCGGGTCCGTGCAGCAATGTTCCCGGAGACACTGGAGGAAGGCATTGAGATCCCATCCACTCAGTTGGATCCTGCTCAGCCAACTGCAGTACAGCGCCTTGCTGAGCCCTCGCAGATGCTTAAGCATGCTGTTGTTAACCTGATCAACTATCAGGATGATGCTGATTTGGCTACCAGGTATATTTTTATGATGAAATTTCTAATAATCAATTTAAATATATATGTATACTGTTAAAATTATTAAATATGATAAAATTTTCCATTTTCATGTTCACTTAATGATGTGTTTTGTTGTTTTTATAAAAAGGTACTGTAACTTACTAGGTTTTCCCTGTGGCTTCGTTCATCTGTTGTTTTCTTCCTAACTATGTTCTACATCCATGCCAAATTTCACCTAGATCTCTTAAGCCATAATAACAAATACACAATATTATGATTATTAATTAATTTGCAATTGTGCTTTTATTTCAGGGCCATTCCTGAGTTGATCAAGCTCTTGAACGATGAAGATCAAGTGGTAGTCTCCCAAGCTGCCATGATGGTGCACCAGCTCTCCAAGAAGGAGGCGTCTCGCCATGCTATCATGAACTCTCCCCAGATGGTGGCAGCTCTGGTGCGCGCCATCTCCAATAGCAATGACCTTGAGACCACCAAGGGTGCTGTTGGAACTCTGCACAACTTGTCTCATCACCGACAAGGTCTACTCGCGATCTTCAAGAGCGGCGGAATACCAGCTCTGGTCAAACTCCTGAGTTCTCCTGTTGAGTCTGTTCTCTTCTATGCGATTACAACTTTGCATAATCTCTTGCTACATCAAGATGGTTCCAAGATGGCGGTTCGCCTGGCTGGTGGACTGCAGAAGATGGTAGCACTGCTGCAGAGAAATAATGTCAAGTTTCTGGCTATCGTGACTGATTGTCTTCAGATCCTGGCATACGGGAATCAAGAGTCTAAATTGATTATTCTAGCCTCTCAAGGCCCGATCGAATTAGTGCGTATAATGCGCTCCTACGACTATGAAAAGTTGCTGTGGACTACCTCCAGGGTATTGAAGGTAAATGGCACAAATAAAATTTATTTTAAAAAAACGCTTCTACGGTCCATTTACAAAGAACATACAAAAAAGCAGTTGAGTTTAATATGTTTGAAATAGGGTTTAATTTTAATTTACACGTATTTTTACTTTTGATAATAACATGCAAAGTCAGATTAAACCTTACTTCAATGGAATAAAGTTCAATTTCATTTGCCATCAAACATCTGTTATCTGTATGGATTCTACAGTTGCCTTATATAGTGTTTAATGTTATTTTACATACAATTGTGATATATTTTGCAGGTGCTTTCGGTGTGCTCCAGCAACAAGCCGGCGATCGTGGAGGCGGGCGGCATGCAGGCGCTGGCCATGCACCTCGGCAACCCCAGCGGCCGCCTCGTGCAGAACTGCCTCTGGACCCTTAGGAACCTCTCCGATGCCGCTACCAAGGTAACTTTCATGAGATGGAAGGAGACCAGATAAAAAACAAAATTTTTTAATCAAAGTTGATTGGCGAAACCATTATATATTAAACTTTTTATTGCATTAAACACTGATATTATTTAAATATAGCACTAAAATTAACAGTTTGTGTAATAAATTATATAAACGTGCTTGTCAGGTGGAAGGTCTGGAGGCCCTGCTGCAGAGCCTGGTGCAGGTGCTGGCCTCCACCGACGTCAACATCGTCACCTGCGCCGCCGGCATTCTCTCCAACTTGACCTGCAACAACCAGCGCAATAAGGTACTTTCAATTATTTTAGAACCACCACTCTTATTACTGAACTTACAAAACTTTTCGAGTGTCAAATATAATAGTTTAGTAAATCTTCAAACTCACGTTTATCTTCATGTTATGTGGACATAATGAACTCTGGTACTTAGCTTTAGGTTGTTTAATTGCAATGAAGTACACTTTAGTTGAATTAACAATCACTTGATTAGATTAGCCGTGCAGAGTGACAGACGAAGTGCAAGAGAGAGAGAGAGAGAGAGAATGTCCAATAGAGATGTCCGTGTGACGCTCTTGCTAGTGATGCCCATAATCTATCATTAGGGATCCAGATGAAGATGACATAGGCGCAAACAACTCAAATAGTTTTGTTTTCTCCAAAAATCTATATCTAGATCAGTTTAATTCCTAAGAATATGAATTATTAAATTTATTGATCAACAGGTTTTTCGATAACTTGTGCAGACATTAAACCGGTTAAATTGATTTTAAACGTAATGATAAATGTCTTAGATAAACATAAATGGTACGATTTAATTTCGTGTCTGTGTGATATAAATACTTCTAGTCTGTGGCGCTTCTACGTGCTTTAAAAATATTCTATTCTTTTTACAATACTAAAAGTTTGCTTCACTAATCTATCTTTATTTTGCCGAAACTGCTAAACGGATTTCCAAATTTTGCACAGATAAAACATAGTCTGGAAGAATACAAAGGGTACTTACTAAGTTTTTTCTTAATTCCTCGCGGACAGATTATCGGGCGTAAGCTAGTTTATTTGACATTTTTTGTTGTCACAAATATGTTTCTTTAATATATGTGTTGTGTTGTCAGGTGACGGTGTGCCAGGCGGGCGGCGTGGACGCACTGGTGCGCACGGTGGTGTCGGCGGGCGACCGCGAGGAGATCACGGAGCCGGCGGTGTGCGCGCTGCGCCACCTCACCTCCAGACACCTCGACAGCGAGATGGCTCAGAACGCCGTGCGACTGCACTACGGACTGCCGGTACGATACTAACGTATAATCACATACTACAAGACATACGAGTTTGCTATCCGCTAGGTTTTTCCCCTCTCTTATAAATCACGAGTCTAGGAAAGCAGCTATATCTATGGAGAAATTTCATATTTGAATGTAACGTCTTTCTGAAATGCCTGTATGGTCATATTAAATTATGATTCTTCGACTTTTACTTCACGTATTACAATTGTATTTATAAAAGTTGTAAGGGGTTGTATAATTGCATGTTAAATAAATCGGATCGGATATTGTAATAAAACACTGGTCATACTTTTCCTATTATACTGAATGTTTGATTTCTTTCTGCCAAAGAAAAGGTTCAAATTAAAAACAAAACACCATCAAGTATCTTTAGAATATATATTGCTTTTGTAGTATTAAATTTTGATAGTAATTAATGTGTGTGTTCAGGTGATAGTGAAGCTGCTGCAGCCACCGTCGCGCTGGCCGCTGGTGAAGGCGGTGGTGGGGCTGGTGCGCAACCTGGCGCTCTGCCCCGCCAACCACGCGCCGCTGCGCGAGCACGGCGCCGTGCACCACCTCGTGCGCCTCCTCATGCGCGCATTCAACGATACACAGAGGGTTAGTATACATTCTGTTATTGTAATCAACGATACAGAGAGAGCAAGTATACATTCTGTTATTCAAATCAACAATAGTCAGAGTTAGTATATTAGATAATTGGTTTAATTAGATATGCAAAAATAATAGAATGACAAACCGTCAACGACCATATATGAATTTATTAGTCAACATCATACAGAACCGTAACGATATGTTCCGAACTTTTCGGGCGTGAAGGACGCGAAAAATTTTGTCATTGTCGAATACTTTTTTAATTTTAACTTATCATAAGACCTTTTTAGTTATTGATATTTAATTTACAATATGTTAGTGTGTGTACCATCGTTGTAAATACAAATGTATCGTGTTCCAGCAACGGTCGTCAGTATCGGGTAGCGGCGGCGCGGGCGGCGCGTACGCGGACGGCGTGCGTATGGAGGAGATAGTGGAGGGCGCGGTGGGCGCGCTGCACATCCTGGCGCGGGAGGGACTCAACCGCCAGCTCATCCGCCAGCAGAACGTCATACCCATCTTCGTGCAGCTGCTCTTCAATGAAATTGAAAATATACAGGTACCATCATCATCACCAGCTCAATACGTCCCCACTGAGGGACTTGGAGCCTAACCTAAGAAGGGGGGAAGTCAACCACGCTGGCCCAGCGCAATTCCACATATATCTTTACATTTCTTAGCTCATATACTCAGGTTGCATCAATGTTTTAATTCACAGTCAGAATGCAGGGTAAATTATTAACATATGAAATTCGAAAAGCACAGGTACCATAGTGCTATAAAAATCGACGTCTCTCAATTTCTTAAGATACGATGCGCATCTGTTTTGTGTGCTTTTAATCCGCTGGTGATCCACTACCATATAATTCATATTGTTAAAAATAGGGTTGTGACGTTTAGATGTATCACATAGTATTTGATATTTTTTAAGATAAAAGTTATATCTATCATACGAGAATGCTTATAAGTCACGTAAAAAGGGATTTAATTCTAGATATCTGTTGTAAATTATTGTTAGATATACATTTTTTAATTTATCAAAGCTCTTAATATAATTAACTTATTAATATAGTGTAAATAATAACAAAGTGTATACTCCAACGTGTGCAGCGCGTGGCGGCGGGCGTGCTGTGCGAGCTGGCGGCGGACAAGGAGGGCGCCGAGATGATAGAGGCGGAGGGGGCCACCGCGCCCCTCACCGAGCTGCTGCATTCACGTAACGAAGGTAGATAAAAGTGTCTTCAAAAACAAAGTCCTCAATGGTTGATGATAAAATTTCCTTTAGGTTACTGTGCAAATGCATCTTAAGACTGAAGTTTTTCTTTTATCTGGTCATTTACTTACTAACGTATGTAATTTCATACCTCTCACAGTCACATTGGAATACTATCGTTAGCGCTATTTCCAAACAAGTACGAAATGCCTTCAAGAAAAGTATAATTGCCATGGCATGGTGTGGTTCATGGGTGTCGTTAATTACCTTGGTGTTCCCGCCTCCCATTTGCCTCCTAGTATAATTATAAAAAAAAGGTCGGGACGGATCTGCAATTCCTCTGGTATTGCGGATGTTTTTATATAAAAAACTAAATGAATATTGTAAAACAAATGTGTATATGTACAGGAGTGGCGACGTACGCGGCGGCGGTGCTGTTCCGCATGTCGGAGGACAAGCCGCACGACTACAAGAAGCGGCTCTCCATGGAGCTCACCAACTCGCTGTTCCGCGACGACCACCAGATGTGGCCCAGCGACCTCGCCATGCAGCCCGACCTGCAGGTACATACCGTTCACTAACTAAACATACTTTTTTTTATCGGAGGGAAGGCTTCAAAAGATCTATCCCTACATATTGGGAAAAACAAGGAAAGTTGAAAGTTAACTAACAATTTAGTACTTTTTTGTAGCAGGAAGGGGGGGGGGGTCTTTAAAGATACATTACCCTTTGGAGGAGAGACATGAGGGAAAATGTGAGACTTCTCGCTAAAACCACTTATTAAACACTTTATTACCTAACTAGTTTACTTAATACAGACTTAGTATAGTACAGACTATCTTCTACATCTGTGCAAAATTTTATCACAATCCGTTATGCCGTTTCCATGCTTGTAATGTTCCAATTCAAAATATTTGTCAAAAACTAAGTTAAAGTATATTTGAGATGCTGTAATATTATGGCTGGCCCATTAATTTCTATGTTAAAAATGTATGTCTTAAAATAATTTAAATCTGTTATTACTTCGACCAGGATATGCTGGGCCCGGAGCAAGGCTATGAAGGCTTGTACGGCACTAGACCATCCTTTCACCAGCAAGGTAACCTTTTTTAAGTTTATTGTTTACATTTGGTTAACTAACACACAGAATGGACAATGTAATCTAGTATATTTATGTAGATTCAATATTTATATATCTTAAATTACTTTTGTTTTTATGTTCAAAATTCACATACACAAAGTGATTACTAAAGATAGTACAAGACAAATAAAATTAAATGTACTATGAAAAAGCTGCAAAAATATGAAAATCTTGTTATCTTATTTTCTTACTTATTTTGTAGTCTTTTAGTAACTTTAGTAATTGCTTTTATTTTTTACAGTAGATATCTTTAAGGGCACTTTCTATGTATTATATCTGTCGTATATATTTATATCGTGTATCGAATGTGAAAGTTTCTGTATAAATGTGTTTCTCTCTTTACACGCAGCTTAATCCGGGACCTTATCACTAAACAGGTGATGGGAATATTATTATTATGTGTGTCTGTGTGTTTATAACATATCCTATATATGTATTTGTTATATTACTAAAATAATGATATCAGTTTTGATTGCTGTGATTAACATAGTATTTGCTTCATTTAAAGCACAAACATAAGGCTATTTTAATTTATTACCATAATTTATGTTTAAAAAGGCTTTTAAATTTAAACAAGTATATGTTTCCTTTATTCGCTTAGCAAAAATCCCTTTTTAAAACTCAATATTGAATTTTAATTGCAATATAAACCCAAGCAATGGTGAGTAACTTGAGAGTAATTGAAAAAAATGTCAATTGTTCAGAATCTATGCAAATATTTTAGTGAGGCTTTTAACAGTTTAGCATTTATATCTTTAATATTTGTTTTCAAAGTTTACTTTTGTAATGATTTTGATATATCAAGTACTCATACATAATGCCCCGATAACTTTATCTGCTTATCTTAATGTTTTATATAAAAATTTCAATAAATTAAAATTTGAAATTACATCAGTAGAAAGTTTTGTTTATCCAATAGATTTCTTTTCCTTGCGTTATTACGCTTTTTTGATCTTGGCTGTCAAAGTTCAACAGCACAATGAGTAGTGCTTTCCCTCTGCATCCCGCTGCCATTTTAAATATCTAGGCTATCCAAAGTCATCGCCACAATGTGTAGTGCCCTCTTGCATCCCGCTTCCACCCCAATTATATTTCGCGCAATTCGCCTAATATAAAAACCCGTAAAAACATAAAAACTAAACCAATATGTTTGAAATTCAGCAGGCTACGATCAAATCCCGATAGACTCGATGCAGGGGCTGGAGATCGGCAGCGGCTTCGGTATGGAGATGGACATCGAGGCGGAGGGCGGCGGCGCGCCCGGCGCCGACCTCGCCTTCCCCGAGCCGCCGCACGACAACAACAACGTCGCCGCCTGGTACGACACCGACCTGTAGGCACTACTACTGGCATTGTACAATCAGGGAAACTACCGGTGCTCAACTTTAAAACTAAAAATGTAATTGGTAAAATTAAAGACGGCTCAACTCAAGTTTTATCTGTGACGGCACTGATTAGTTACGGACCCATCGGGGTCCTTCTGAGACGCCTTTAATTTCGCCTAATTGTCTCACGAAAGTTTGCAATTTAATTACAAATGTAACGTTCGTAAGATAGGGGTTTCTTACCACGATTGGGTTTTACGTTTGTAAACCACGACTCTAAAGTATGAACCTGAAACCATCTTGCGAATTATATTTGTAAAATCCACAACAGTTTAAAGTGTAAAACTCCAGCTTGAATGTCTAAACGTTGAGATACAGAATAATAGGACGCATTCTTAACCCTTAATTCGACAGTGAAATACTAATTTAAAATTTTTTTTTTATTCATATCACATTCATATTTCATTTATGTTTTTTTTTTTTTTACAAAAACCCTTCGTCGAATTAAGGGTTGTAAGATCCAAGCATAGTTTTAGAAAGTTGCATACCGCGGATTTCCGTGATTGTACATACGTTTAGTTAGGTTGACGTCACTGACGGAACAATATTTGTTATTTGCTGTCCATCATGCTGTTTCACATTTTTAAATTTTACACTATTATCGAACTGAATTTATTCAACAAAATGTACTGGACAATTAAAGTTTACTAATCCTAGTTTTCTATCAATAGAAAATTAAAATAATATTGTTTATATTTAACAAGATAAAATTGATGTTTCTATCATTTATGTATTACTGAAATGTGTTTGTTACGTGTTTTTAATTAATTTTTATATTTCCTCCATTTAAAGAAACATAAACCAGGTTTTTAATAACTTAGCATAAATACTAATAATGCAAATCTACAATTTTTTTTTCCAAAAAACCTGTGATCACATTTACTAACGGCAGCTACTTTTTCCTATGTTAAATTCAAATTTATTTTATTATATTAATTGGCATTGGTGCTATTAACCAAGGAATTAAGGTTTTTCTCAACAAAAGTATCGAGTTTCCTGCATCGATTGTATCGGAACGTTTTATACGACTTGAAATCCGTGTAATCGGAACATAGGGTAATGTTAGTGTAAGTTTTTTCTAGGCTTTAAATTATTAGTGTAATTTAGTGTTATAAAGATGTGAGCGTTCATTTTTGTAAACATTTCCTTTTCTTGTTTTTTTTTATCGTTTTATTATTATTTAGATCGTACACCCCTTCAGGTTGCTGCGGTTCAGTAAATTCAGTTTATTTTTTAATTTACCATTAAAAGCAATGTTTTGTATTAAAAATGATTTGTTTTCAGTACTATTTTATTGTATTTCTAACATTATCTGTTAGAAAATAGTACACATACATAAAATTATGCATTGTTTTAAACTACATTTTACAAGCACGACTTTTGCTATATCTAGCCATTTTTTGTATGTATTGGACGCTGACATCTTTTAGACGATTTTACTAAGTAATTAAAATGATTCTACATACGCGCATTTATGTAGTTTGATGTGTGACCTTTACGTTGATTGGATGGACGTATTTAATTTAAATATTGAATAAGACTGTTTGTCTGTTTATAAATTATAGTATTGAATGACTGCCATTTTTATTTTACTAAAATTACAAATGTTATTGGCCAAATGCAGATAACGGAGGTTTTTTAAGTTAGTTTTTAAGTATTATTTGAGCGAATGTGATGTTTTACGTTAAATCGTAGAAATTTGCTGATATGTAGAAATTACCTTGTAGCTTACTATTACTATTCAACTATAGATATATAATCTATATAGTATCTATAGATGGCGTCATACAAATATGACGTCAAATCGATAATCGATTTTCGACATGTCATGTATTGTAAATCACAACATTGAGGAAATTTACCTCAATAATGGTCTCTTTTTGCCTCAATTTTCTGTTTAAGAGGTGTCTATAGATTATATATCTATGGTAGCAATATTTTACGATTAAATATAACTGGTAACACTAATGTAATCATTTTAATCTGTATTAACAGATACCATTTTGTATACACGTATCCGATATTTGTTGGAACAATTAGATCCTTTATGGATTGTATACGTAGACTTTTTTCCAATAAAAGTCTTTTGATGTACTGTTTGTTATACTGTCTAGTTGCACTCAAAATAAGACACGTAGAAGATTAGTAAATATATAATCGTAGTTTAAGAAATAGTATTAATCACGTAATTCCTCTTAGGGTTCTCTTTATATTTTTTTCTATTCGATATTTTTAATTGACTTTAACAATGTTTTTATATGTCAATCGATTGTAAAGACATTGCTAGAGTATGTGATTTTGTGTCCATTTATGTATGGATAATAAAATAATTAAAACTTCAAATGCGTTTTTTATTGCCCTTACACATGTCCAAATTGTATTCACAGATTACACAAATAAAACGTAATTTATGTGTTATAGCGGAGAGTGTAGAAAAGTAAAGAGATTTCTGTATACATAATTTGTATAATTCTTGTTTGGCTAATATCAGCTATAGACCTCTACCACTTGAAAATATAAGCATATTTTATTTTCATATACATACTGGATGATATATCAGATAGCAAACCATATACAATACACATAAAAACTGAATAACCCCGAGACACCGAAATTAGTAGCAATTTCGAAAACTTGAGTTTTCTATCCGAATTCTATAGAAAGTAGCCTATGTATTGTTCCAAACTATGCTCTACATCTATGCCAAATTTCATCACGTTACATTTATCAGTTTACGATACAAACTACTAAATATGCATCCAAATTAGCATTTATAACACTAGTAGGATAAGATTTCCACAACCGCAAAATAGCCAATACGTTACATATTGCTATTTACTTTCAAGAAACTATCAAGACAATGTTTAATCAAAAATAAAGGAGGCACACTATCGTGTCGGGTAAGACGACATAACTCGACGCGGCCGCAAATTGTTAGTGAAGTAAGGTGGCGCCGCAGACCGCAGCAACTTCCCCACCTTTGTCCCGACAGTTATTATGTTCAATTTAGACTTTGATCGCGGCGCGGCACTAATCTTGCGACAACTTAGATTATACTAGGACATGAGAAATAGTTCGACTAACGGCTAATTGTAGGTGAAACATTGCTAAGTTTAGTATTTAGGTAGTAAATATAACCGGTATTTAAATCTATTTATTCTGTAAAACTTTGCATAAGTGGACCAAATTGACAATAGATCATCTTTACACAATGACAGATGCTAAATTCATCATCTCCTTATTCTACTCCCGTACGGTCGGCGCAACAGGTTTTTGTCCTCCACAAACTCGTATCATACGTCATCTCAGTCATCACTTACTTTTTAATCATGTCACTTTTCACGCAATCCATCCATCTCTTTCTAGATCTACCTCTACCGGTGTACCCTTCCACACTCATAATCAATGTTCACCTTGTTACATGCGATTCATTTCTTCATCCAGGAGGGAGGGACAGATGACAAATTGATCATCTTTATTTTATTAGGAAACGGATCTAAAATATAATTAACCGTATACCTATCAATATAAACCTCAGTAAATATTTACTATGCGAACTCAAAGTTCATTTATAATTCATAAGGGAGTTCCTGAATGTGACTGTACCCGGTAATCATCGACAAATTTACTCATTTATGTTTGATACGGCTAAATGCTTTTCGGCCATTTCCCATGTGACGATCGCAAGTCAGCAATTAATGTATGATCGAACATTCAGTGACGATGTCTTGTGGCGTACGTATAAGGTTCCATTTTCAACGGCAAATTCTATTACTCAGTAATTATAAAGGAGTGAACTGTTGATAATTATTGTTCGTGAAGCGAAATGTCCCGGCGCCGTACAACTTATTGGTCTGTAGCCAACTTGTGAACTGTGAACCCGAAAATTGTATGGTGTATTTATTAAACATTTATTGATATGTTAATTTTTGATATGGTACATCCATATCAAATAATAATACGGTGACATTTGCTGGGTACTAACAGCGAGCGCACACCTTTGATTTAACTATCGGACAACTGTTTAGTCGCGCTTTAATTTCTATGGCCTTATATGGAGGTTCGCACACTTCTCGATTTTTAGTTGTGCAACTAAACAGTTTACTTGGCTGCAAAACAATCGACAATCGCACAACATTTGTGCGACATTTTAGCCAAATGTGAGTGACTAAAGAATACGATAGTGTTATGTCCATTTACCTATACAAATATAGGTACCATGTACAAATATTTTAATCACAAGTCTAACTTATTTTTAAAAAACTCATACAGTGAAAAATAATACTTTATCAAACAAATTATAGAAATTTGGTTAAATAAAATTTCAATAAAAACATAGATAGAAGAGTACTACAATAATTATATTAAACATCGTGTTATCTTATTTTTACATCTCCAATACACAATCTAGCAGCTATTACGTATATACATTTTTAATTCAAAACGCTGCGTCGCGTCGTTGCAAATCGACATGCGGTCAGGTCTGTCGCCGAAACTTTTTTCATTAGCCTCGCTGCCACATAGCCGGCTAACATTCTATTTTCGACGTGCTTGGTGCAATGGGTATGCATTTACAAGGAAGTGAAGGATTTAAATCGATTTAAAATTGTATTCAAACTTAACATCGTATTATAAATATGAAAACTAATGTACAGCATAATACTTAATAGAATTTAGTTTTAGGTTACAATTTTTACAAACAAGTAGTGGCAGATTACTAAGTCTGGGTATGTTTTTTTTGTTGAATATAGTTAGTGCAAATTTTATTCGTAACCAAAACAACATTTGCACTTAGATTTGCCATCAAGATGGCTACAAATTAGTGAGTTTATTGCTTCGTTACGACTCTCATTATCGGACGCATCGTATCTGGGCCCCTGCAACTCGCTTTACGACTGCTTAATAAACCCGTGGTTTAAAGTATGGGGTGAAAGATAACATATTTTTACAACCCAACATGGAACACCATTTTGACCACTTTATTAAGGATTTAAAATTTTAGTATAAGAATAAATTAATTTACTCCTCTTGTTTAACCCTTGGTAAATTCAGTCTTTATATTATACCTATAGAGACCAATAAAAAGCTATTAATCACAACTATTATTAAGTTTTTTTTTTTAAATATCTCGTTAATCAAGTCTATCTTACTCTTACTTCATACAAATATTATAAATGCGAAAGTTACGATGGATGGATGTTTATTAGAGTTTGTACCCTAAACGGCTGAACGGATTTCGATGAAATTTGGTATAGATGTAGAGGATAGTCTAGTAACTGTAGTTTTTTTTTAATACCACGTGGACGAACTCGCGGGCGAAAGCTAGTTTATGATAAAAATAGATTAATATGGAACAGAAATAATGACATTTAACTATATAAATCTTTGCCTTAACTAAACTAAGATCTGTTCAGTGAAAACAAAAAACAAGTTAATATCGACCGCGCCGCACCTGTCGACTGCTTCAGGATTTAATGCGCGGAGTTTTTACTACTTTTTAAAAGCCACCAGTGGCTCCCGACGAATTTATGGAGCTACGGGATAAAAATATACTTAGCTAACTTAATGGTTACGTCTACATGTACTAAGACTAAGGAGAATTATATGAATAATGCAAATATTGTTATTAATTTAAAAATGAATTTTTACGGAGAACGCTTCATTTAATGCATAAAGTTTTCGAGATGGCCGAGAGCCAAGCGAACTTAGACTGGAATTCTTTTACGAAAACTTTAAACAATGGTCCAATCCATTCAAGGTCAATTTATACGTTACAAGGTTAAGAGACTGTATGAAAGAGAATGTAATTTAAAGAAATAATGGTAAATATGTGGACTAGCATATCAACGACAGGGAAAAAGGACTCTTTCCGATAAAAAGTACACTACTGCCTGTTTGGTTAGTTAGGGTCTAGCTGGGTCTCTCCGGGGTGTCCGGTCTGGTACTGACAGTTCAAAATTAGGCCCAGCCGTGTCCACTACGCGGGAATGTAACGGAATGTTAATTAAATTCCACGCCCGCAAAAGATTCCATCAACTTTTCCTGTTTTGCAATTCTCTTGTTTTTTTGCCTCGAGTTTAAAGAAGTTGGTAACAAATGAACATTGT